TTGAAGACGGAAGTCGTAGGTATTTTGACCGATGCACTTTGACAAGGACAGCGCATTTAAAAATGCATTCAAACTTTGAAACGGGCCGGACTCACGCAAGCAGTACTAATTTGACCCACCCACTTTGACTACGACTGCCTAATTAGGTTCTTATAAATTATATTCCCTTCAATTCCATACTATATAATATGACATCTCCTGAATGTTTCTGTTGGTGTCTGCATGTGAGAGAGAGAGAGAGAGAGAGAGAGAGAGAGAGATTAGTTGTCTTTCTTGCTGGTCTTATAACTTCTGTTCGTGACGCACTAATTTGTCCGTCTCTTGTATTCCGATTCCTTGGAGCAATAATTTAGAATTTAGGAGTAGTGACAGGCATTAGCAAACACGGAGTGATAATGAATAATTAAGTTGAATTGATACGTTGATATTATTAATTTAATAATAATAAAAGCGTCATTCCTTCTTCATTTTTATTATTGACATTGATCGTAAATAATTAAACATGATTAAGGTTTAAGGTCGTCTCCAAGGGGCAAGTCCTATACAGTCGCTCGTTAGAATAGTAAGAGGTGTGGAAGAAGAGAGCCCAGCGACGCTTTGGCCCCTCTCCCCAATGCTCCACCCATTCTAATTAACACAATTGCCGGTCAAGATTGTGACACTTTAGATTACAATTTTTTTTTACTCTTAAATGTTATTTAAATCGACAAAACTGAAATACCCTCATTAAATTCTCACCATTTTTACCTTTATTGATTTTAATACATACCTCACTTTTATTTTTAAAATTTCATTAACCGTTAAAACACATATTTTAATATAATAAGAGATAAATTAATTAATATGATTATGTTTTATTTTATTAATTTTTAATACAATTTATGTTTATTAATGTTAATATTATGTAAAAAAATATGAAAAAAATTACCATAAATTTTTTTAGAAAAATTGGAGTAGTTAAATGACAATTAGATTAGGGGAAAATAATTATTTTAAATTTTTAACATGATTTTAATTAATATAATTAAAGATTTTAGAATCTTAAACAAAATATTGTGTTAAAAAATGGATTAAAGTGCAAGTTTTGGAAATAAAGAGAAATTTTGTTAAAATTTTAACAAATTTGAAGGAGAATCATTGTATTTTACAGTTTACACCTTTGATTTTAGGTTAAAATTTTAAAAGTTAAAAAAAAAGTTAAATGCATCAAGTTATGTAAATGAAATAGAAATTAATCCCACTATATCATTTTTGTGGGGTGGGGGAGTAGTTGAAGGTATCAAATAATTAAGAAGTTTTGATTAGACATATAAAATTAAATAGCCTTAACTTTAAGCATGTGTATGAAAATTTAAAAAACCTTCAATGAACTAAGAATTATAAGAATAAATTAATAACTATGTCGATAAATACTAGTTCTAGCTTATAAAGCAAGATGAAAATATGATATAGTAGTCATCCATGTTAATTTTTTTTAAATAAATAATTGCTAAAAATATAAATATACATGTGATGGAGAATGATCGGAAGCATGCGAGGACTAATTATGGTTATGAACAAGAAATTAGAAAGAACATAAGCAGAGAGAAAGTATTCATTACAATGAGGGAAGACCCGATTATTAAGCTGCCATGTTGGGATTAAAAGGATAATTAATTAACCTTAGATTCCTGGCTGCCTGTCCTGTTAGCATACAAGACCCCGAAAAAAATTGCATTTTAAATTTGGGGTGGGTGTAATAGTGATGCGTGATGCCAAGTTGTTGTTGTTGTTGTTGTTTTTTTTTTTTTTTTGTTGGGTGCAAATGAGGACAATTGGTTACAGATGCTGTTTTTTTTTTTTTTTTAGAAAATATCAATGAAAGGTCTCTGAAATGATTTAATATCAAACAATGATTTAGAATAAATAAACATTAACAACTAACAAGTGAAAATTTAAGTTTTGACAAGTATTTGATTCATACAGGTTATTATCTGATATTAAATTATTTTAATGGTTCTTCATTTTTTTTTCCTGGAATGCTTAATATATCATCCAACGGTCTCTTTGCATTTCCTTTCACTATAATCAACTTTCAGTAACAGTTTTATTATTTAAAAAGAAACTTTCAGTAACAGTGCATTTGATAGTCCCCTCCCAGGAAAAAAAAAAAAAACACACGTGATGGTTAAATCTTGGTTGGCAAAATTAATTAACCCATCAATTCTTATAATCTACATCAATTTGCCATTCCAGAACTTGTAGTTTAAAACTTTTCGAGCACGTTCATATAATCACAATTATATAGAGTCCAAAGTGGAGCGGCCTCGACCATAATATGTTTGCAAGGAGTAAGATTAAAAAAAGATATTGAATATCCATTGATAAGCAGGACAAAATAAATTGGCAAAGTTATTTTTAAAATTTTGGCAAACCGATTATTAAAATAAATTGGTAAATTTAGACAATTCATCCAACTTTTATGAATATGCAACATTTTCTATTACTTTAAAAGAATGTTTAAATATATAGGGAGAATTGCATCTAAAGGCTATTTAAGTAAATTATTTTTAAATAAGAACTAATAACAAGCCTCATTCAAAAAAAGTCATATTTTCATTTTAACAATAATTTATTTTATATTAATTTTTATTTATAAATAATTTTTTTAAGTGATCCTTAGATATGATTTTATATATATATATATATATCTTATTTCACCCTTATCATCTAACTTTGCTGGAATAACGATTGGCATGGCCTCTAAATGTTGACAAAGCAGCCAGATATGCTAAGGGACGAGGAAAATGGTGCCACGTAAGCAAGACATGATATATTACACGAGTAACAGAAATTATGAGTCACGATCTAAGGATCTAGTTTGACCAATAAAAAGAGTCACGATCTAGTCTTTACTTTTTTTACTCCTAAAATGATTTTGAACTTCAATAATAATAATAATAGGGAATTGCACATGCATGCCATATACTCCGTCTGGATCTAACATAGCCTTCTCTAAAATACTAATCTCATTTAAAAATTCACATATTCTAGATTTGGAATAAATTGGTAGTAGCTAAGAGTAAAACTACTAAAAAAATGTAATAGAGTATCTATTGAATTTGCATGACTCTGAAATTAAAAAGACTTCAATCTCGCTTAAAAATTCACATTATATAAGTATAGATTTTCAAGTGAGGTTGGTGCTTTTCAGTAATGATGTTATGAAAATTTTATATCTACCTATACATATAAAACATGTGAGCATTTTCTAGCAAGGTTAATGCTTTTTAATAGTGAGGTCCCATAAATTCAATAGGTAGCTGTGTCATTTCATTGTTCTTAATTAATTCTTTCTAGGGAAAAAAAAAACCTGAAAAGGAACACCGGTAGGGTCTTAATACTAAACAATCGCAACTGACTATAGTTTCCCATGATGGCTATTTTTATCAATCCATTATAATTTTATTTTCCAGCCAAAAACTATTTTCTTTTGTATTAATTTCAATAATTTAAAATCCTTAAATGCAATAAATGGTCTTACAACTTACAAGGTCTTTAATTATCGTTTTCCCAGAAAATTACTTCCTCATTGTTGTATCCACGCACCTATTGTTACATTTCTCTCGCTAATCCTTTTGGTAATTGCCAATAAGTAAAAGAAGAATACTTTTCGTGTGCTTCATAGTTTATTCAGTGAATCAATATAATATAAGTATCTTCACCAGTATATAATATGCGTAATTTGTAAGAAGTTGATTTTTTTTGCAAAAGGCAAGAGTTAAAGCCAGAGTCTGAATCATGCGACTCTCTTACATCCTCTGGATTTGTCAGCAAGTTTATTTTATGTCTTAATTTGCATTTTTAAAGTTTGAAAACCAACAGCTAAAAGATCCGCCCGTCTAAGTTGATACAATTTCATAATTAGATCAAATTCGAAGAGCATTTGGAAACAGTAAATTTAAATAAAATTAAATCCTCATTTTAATAACTTGCTAGAAGCAAAAATTGAAAAATGCATAAAATGAATAATAAAGGCAAACATTAAATGATCAAAATACGGAGGAAAATAGGTGAATCATATTTATAAAAGGATAATGTAATTTAGTTTATGAAATTGAGAAATATAACTTATAAAGTTTGTAAAGGACATAATGATATATTGTGAGAGGAAAAAATGATTTAATTCATTTTTATTTTGATTTGTTAATATATCCCATTTCCATTCTTTAATTTTTAGCAATCAAGACCTTAAAATACGTCCTACAACAAAGATATAAGGGAGTATATTAATGAACCGAAGGCCGAATTGAATTGAAATTAACCAATAGTATTAATTAGCTGATATAAAATGAAAAATTAATCATTTAATTCTATAGTTTTAATTCAATTGGGATGTAGCCCATAAACTTTTACTCAAAGTAGTTTAATCTAATTAAATTCAATCTTTAAACTTTAACTCATACTCCCTCTAGTACTTAATATAAGCAAAACTTAACCAACCTTGTGGTTACAAGAAATAATAGTTATATCAAATAATGTAACTCTTCAATTTTACCTTTCTTTGCAATTAATAACCCTACTAAATTGCATTTTAAGAATTCAAACAAAAATAAATAAACAAGGAGTAAAATTGAAAACAAATTAATTATCTTGATTTTGTCTCATATTAAGAACTACATAAGCTTTTAAAGTTTGACTTATATTCAGAGATGGGGACAACTCAATCTTTATGATTTTAACCGCTTGAAATATTAGTTATAAGGTTTAAGAAATAACTCCAATACTGAGCTCTTTTCTGAAATGTGCGCACCACTATCTTAAATGCTTAACAATTGATTTGCATTGAATTAAAGTTTAACCAGTGAATTTTAATTGATTCAAACTTGCAGCATTAAATAATTAAGTTTCCTGCTATAAAGAAATTGCGGTGGGGGCTGATTCAAGATAAGCATCATGGATCTAGGCTCTATAAATAAGTACAATAATGGGATGAAAGTCGTACCGTTGCAGAAGCAGAGCGCCACCCTGGCTACTATGTCTTGGCCATCGTATCAGCCGCACCCATGCCCAGATTGGGACTTTTGGCAAGACCCCTCCGATGCTTTCTTGGCCTCTTCATCAAGCCACCAAGTTCATGAAGACCCTTTCCACGATTGTCTTTGCTTCGATATGGTTGACAGGGCGGCAAAACAACGGCCGGCGAGTTCACAGGTCACGGAAGCCGACACTGGTAAGGAAAAAACATACATAGGGGTGAGGAAGAGACCTTGGGGGAAATTTGCAGCAGAGATCAGAGATACTACCAGGAATGGCAGAAGAGTTTGGCTGGGAACGTTTCAGAGCGCGGAGGAAGCTGCCCTTGCTTACGACCAAGCTGCATTCACCATGAGAGGAAACAACGCTGTTCTGAATTTTCCGGTGGAAAAAGTGAAGGAGTCTTTGCAAGACATCAGGTATGGTTGCCGCAAAGGCTGTTCGCCTGCTTTAGCCCTCAAAGAGAGACACTACATCCAGAGAAAACTGTCGTCAAAAGCCCAGAAAGACAAAGCCAAACAGCAATCAGAGGTGGTGGTGCTAGAAGATCTAGGTGTAGAATATCTGGAGCAACTTCTCAGCTTATCCGATGAAACTGCATGCCCAACCCACTTCAAATGATTCATCGCGTTTCATAATTATTTCCTTCTATTTATACTTACTATGTGTGGAGGGAGCCTCATTATCTTATTTTCATCCCTCTTTTTTAATTATTTTGTGGTTATTTTCTCTTCAGAGTTAATCATAAGTCCACCTTCCCATTCTATTTATATTGGCGCTCGTTGAGAAATTTGACATCTGATACAGCAGGGTTTAGGAACGAGGTAGAACTTAATTAAAATGATTACACCTTCAGCTAAAGCCATAGCTGCGCGTCGCTTCAACTCTAAAGCTGGCTCCTCGTTTCATTTCTTTTCTTCAACCGAAATGTGACCTTCATCTTGCGCGCACTATTTTTGAAATAGCTTCAAATCCTTCCCAAAAGATAAATCATCGATCACAAGACATGCCAAAAAAATATGACCAATTGATCAGCAATTTTAATCACCTTGGCCATGAATTTTTGGTTTCCAATCAGAGCACCTAAAACATATCTGGATGCAATCAAAACAGAAATGTCCACAATACCCGAGGAAAAGAATATAAGGATTAATTTAGCGACAAGTACATAATTACCTTGGAATTCACTACTAAAATCTTTCCGTGTATGACACGATAAAACCAGAAATTCTTTCATACTTCATTTTACTCAAGACTTCAGAGACAGTACATTTAAATGTAACAGTTACTCGATAAATTTGGATTGTCTACAGTTTTCAATTGTAAAGGTCTTGTGAGTTCCAGAGAGCGAAAAGAAGAGAGAAAGAAGAATATAATATGCCTTTTATTTACATTCACCTTCACTGTATGTCACTGTATCTGAACTAAACAAAATGTTTATAATAAGGAACTCCTTAGGAATTACAGGATGTTTACATCTATCATTTGATACCGTAGGGGGAAAAAAAACGTACCTCACCAAAATAGTAGCAATCACGGACGGTAAATTTGATGGCAATGAACTTAAGGAAAAGATGGAGATGAAACTGGAATTATATAAACTAAATGTTGTATTCTAATCTCATTGGAGAAAAGGAACTGTAAATGGTTTAATTTCGAGTAACAAATGTTGCAGGTCATAACAGTATTTTTTCTTTTTTGACCAGACAAGCCATAACAGTATGAGTAGTTCCTTTTCAATATTACTAATTACATGCACAAAAGCAAAAAAGTATAGTGGTGCAGTTGTTTGCCCTATTGCTGGACAGTAAGAGCTGACAGCAAAGTACAGTTTGCTGAAGAAAGCAAGTTGTACTTCTAATTATAAGATTCTAGCTGCATTCTAGTATTCTACAATTCTCACACTCATAGGAACTGACAGTTGATTCTAGTATATGACAAAACATCTCTCCAACTATGTTTCCAAGATACAATATATCATGAAAAATTTACCAACAATGTCATACCTCATTTAGTTCCACATTTATATAGCTCATTTCTTCCCATGAGTAGTTATAAATTCTGCAGCAACCACGCTTAGGTTAAAGCACAAACGGAGGAGAAGTTTAGTGTTTACGTTTAACAGCAGTTTTGCTTTAGTCATATTAACGCTCAGCTATATTCATTATCATGTCAAATTGGTATTGATCATACGCTCTTTTTGAGTATAGACCAAGAAGATAAAAGATGAAAATTCAAGTTATATATGTGCATACGTACGTATTTATGTATATATGTATGCATTTGACATCAGGTGTGCAAATCAGTGATCAATTATATAAGCTATTAAAAACAAATAAAAAAGGATAAGAGATCTTGTAATTATTGGTGGAAAATCCAACATATACATAGAGATATCTTAGATGAATGCCATAGAATTCTAAAATACATGCATACCAAATGGCATCAAATAACTCATTTTAACATACAAGAACCTTAGATGCTTCGACAAAGATGATACATATTATACACTGCCCATCATTGATCTATATACACAACAGTCCCACGACCAATATTTTCGGTATCTAAAATCCACAAACAGAAATAGCATAACAATTTTTCATCAAGTAGTTCCACCAGGCTGGCACTTGTGGAAATAAACACACATCCTATTGTAGAAAATTTAAAAGAAAAATGTAAGCTGACGAGGACTTAAAACTTATAAAGTGTATATGTCAGCTAATTAGAATTCAAATGATGTAACATTGAAAAAGTCTACATCAAGTCTTAAGGTGATGGATGATGATTAGAGATTGTCACAAAAGACTTAATTAGTTTGCAATCTTTGATGATTTTACTACTATTTTCATTCAAAAAACAGTCTACATTAATCAGAAGTTAAAAACTTCCAAAATTAAAAGGAAGGATTAATCATACAAAGAAGTTCAAACAAAATTTGAGGTGGAAAAAGACACCAAAAAGATTTAAAAAAAAACATCATAGTTCCGAAAAGCTTATAAGTTGAAAAACTATATTTCTAATCTAAGAATATATGACCTGAGTCCTTGGACGCTTTCTCGCTATCGTCTAAATCGGACACATATACGAGTTCAACGAACACCTAAAATATTGGCAGATGCTTATAAATCAAATATTGGCAGACAATAAAAAATTATAGTCATCCTGAAGACGAAGGCAGATTGATCATGAATCAAATAACGGTTATATATAAATTTATGTACTATAATTGCCTTTATCTAGAACCATTAAATTAAGAAACACCGTGAGAAACCTAAAGATAGAACCAACAATTAGACAGATACAACTGATATAAGGATAAATTCCAACTGGAATATCTGGGAGGCATCAACCAACAACGATGCAACCATCGTTTCACCATAAAGTAACCTTTGCTCCAGAATACTGATATAAATAAGATTGAAGATTAGAAAAGGAAGGAAATTTCACATTTACCTCGATAACTAAATTGCTGAAATCTTCGCGTTGCCTATTATCTCCCTGCAGAAATAATGTCCCTTGAAGGAAGACTGGCAAAATTTGGGGATTGAATAACTATGAAACAAAACATAATTCGCGAAAGATAGTGGTAGCAACGAACGAAAAGCATATGAGCCATGAAGGATAGATAGAGGGTTTTTAGCGAGAACAGGAAAAAATTAGGGTGTGGGATCTTCAGAAGCGGTAAGTAAAAAGCTCGAGACTGATTTTTCGGGAAAACGTGCGTAAAGATAATTTAACACGGTGTCCGAACATGAAACATTGAAATGACGAAAAAGATGTAAATGCTCAGCGTTGCTAGACTTTCGAGCCGAGGAATAATGCGGTAATTCAATGTTTTATTGACTCTTTTTTAAAATAAAAAGACATTTAATGTTTATTTAGAAAAAAGTTAAAGTATATTTTAATTCTTTAATTTTATATAAAATTTCAATTTGATCCCTTAATTTTATAAAATATATTTTCAGTTCTCTATCTCTAATATTATTAGTTTCAAATCATTATTTTTCTATACTAATCATTTTTAATTAAACTTAATATATCAATATTTGAGAATGTTTTATCAATATTTAAAATTTTAATATATAAATTTTGTGTGATAAAACTATCAATATTATGATTAAAGGACTAAAAAGATACTTTATAAAATTAAAAAATTAAAATAAAATTTTATATAAAATTAAATAATTAAATGTATACTTTAAAATTAAAAAAATATACAAAAGACCCCAAAGACTGTCAGCACACAATACATGGTGTTGGTAACTATTTTACTATTCTAAAAAAAAGTTAACCAAAGTCTTATCTTATTTTTTTTTTAAATTATACTCTCATATAAAAAAATGTAAAATACTTTTAATTGAATCAAATCTCATCTCTTAATAAATTAGTTAATTATTTTTAAACTAATATTATCTTTTCATACTTATCCTTATTTAATAGAGCGTTTTATTTTAAAGTAAATATAAATTAATTTCCTTATTATATAGACACTTAAAAAAAAACAATGATCACACTTTAAAACTTTAAAATATCTTATATTTTTTAACATTTAATCCCTTAAAAATGTTTTGGGAGTACATCTTTTTAGTCATATTGTTATTAAGCATTTTATATAAGTACTTTAATAATAATAATAATAATAATAATAATAATAATAATGAAGTAGTGATATGGTTAAAATAAGCATAAAAATAACCCATATCCTATATTTCAAATTAAATAAGACTTATCAAAAATATAAATTATTTACATTATGTATTGGATTGAAATCAGAATCAGAGAGGAAATCAGCCACTCTTCATAGTACATACATCACAGTCCTAAAGATTGTGTTCTTTCACTTCCCTGTTAAGAGAGGGGCTGCGATTCCCTTGTTGTTTGAATTTGAAAAATCAAAAAACGATTTCCCTCCTTTTTATCTTTGTATTAAAATCAATTATAAGTCAATAATCAATTAATCAGTTATTATCATGCCTTTCTTCAATATTTAACCCATCAACGGCGACCCTTAAACCATCCAACTAATAAATAATTAAAAAACAGCCTTCTTCCTGAAAGGAATACACATTCTGTAGAAAAATTTGATTGATAAATAATAAATTATAGAAAATTCAATTGTAATTTTTTAGAACAAGAGAAGGATCGATATAATTTAGCTAAACTCTTAAAAACTTTGTTATTAAAAAAATAAAAAAAACTAAGTTGCTTGTTAGTTGTCAGTCCCTTGAATATTAATTGCATCTAACTATAGTTACGACTTACAAGTGTCCTGCGAATTAATAACTTCACAGCCAACTATATTTTATCATAGGATCCAATTTAATGAATATTAATACTATATTCCATAATATAAATTGGACCACACGGACTAGAATGAGAAATTAAAGGTAGTTAACTAACTCAAGCTTTTTAAAAAAGGACAACGTCTTTCTAAAGCTACACTTTTTAAAATATGGTGGGTGGGCAGTGGGCTCTATTCTCTAAAGTCTTTTGGGAAAAATTAAACAGGGAATATATATATATATATATATATTGCAATGCATCCTAAATTCTATTTCCTCCTGTCCTTTTTGTAAGAATTTTTTTTTTTGTTTTTTCCGGTTCTTTCTATATAAACGACTTTACATACTTTTTAGGAGTGTTAATTAATTACTTGATTTTTTCTAAGTACCCTTAATTATGCAGAGAGATATATAAGACTACAATAGTGAATAAACTCTATTGAGGAAAGGTAATTTTGTAAAATGAATGAAA